TAAGAAATGTACTTGAGCAAAATAATACACGTGATTAACAATAGCAAAATATAGGAGCCATTCGAGGCCAAAACCTGAGCCATGGTTAAATCTTTATCATGTTTCTCAAGATACAAGGGACTTTTCCGAGCATAGTGAACCACCTGAACCATGCAGAGTGAATCTTTTTTCATCAGACTAGTGAAATGGACAAAGACTTTTCACTCGTCTCAATCAAGATGAGCTACAAGACTGACTTCATAGCATTAAATACATCATCCATTCTCAATCTAGAACAAATCCAACCCATTTGGATAGAGAAACTAAACCGTTGTTAGGTACCTAGCCTGGTATGCTTGCAAAGTTGCTAGGCCTGTGAAACTGGTAAGGACCATCTAGTTCTTCGAGATTATCTTTTCAAGAGGCATTTGTTCTTGGATGATGAACAAAACTTTTGAAGCCCAAGAAAAAATCTAGTCCCTTAGATGAGTAGGAACCTGACTTGGAAGCTCTCCTTCCCAGTTCTTTTATAAAAGGACCCTTACCCCCCAAGTGATACAGTTGCTCGATTGTCTGAATTTGAAATCTGGATTTTTGGTAATTTATTCTAGATTTATCTCGAGCTTTTGCATTAATTGTGGCCTTTTACTTCTAGTCTTATCTACTTGACTTTCTGGTTTCAAAATTCAATAAACTAAAGCAATTTTTCGTGGCTACAAATGAGATCAAGAATTCTAGATAGTGCTCGACCATGTCTACATTTTGATATTTTATTGTATTTTCATTAAATTTGCAATTGATTACATAAGTAATTGCTAGATTTCTTGATAAATTTAAAGCAACTACAATATACCTTGTCAATTTTGGCTACTATTTCTATACTACAATGATAGAAAAACATAAAGAGATTACAGATTCAAATCCTTTAATCAAATCCTTATCTAAACTCTAAAATTCATACTCAATGTTGAATATGAGAAAATGACAAAACCACAAACATACCTGGATCCATGAATGTCAGATTGTTTGCCTGGATGGGTTATGATATTTCAATTGATTGGTGATCTCCTCTTGATTTTCGCTCTCTGTTGATGGGGATGTAGAGAATCTCTAGAACACCAATAAATGGGGACCATAACCATATAAAATAATAGTAACCGAATAGTCATTCTCTTTTTTGTTGTTTCAAATTGGCCCCTTATCAATTTAAAACAACATTCCGGTCTCTACACTATGTTTCCATGAAACCTAATACCCATTAGTCAAAATACAGCTTTAACGGATCACTTTAATTGATTAATTTTTTTTTAAATAATAGCACCACAC